CTGCGTTAGGAAGGCAGACAGTAAGGAATAGGTGAGCAGGAAAAGTCTTAAGGCTCTGGCTGCCCTTTTTGATTTGTGCATTAATGCTGGAGTTGACAGCTTGCCTGAGAGAGGCTGAAGGGATGTGTGTTCTGCATGTCTGGAATTTATTCCTTTGGCTCTGTAAAATGTGACACTGCATAATGGGCATGAAGAAGTAATTTTGATCCTGTGACTATCTTGGCAAAGGTTCCAGAGAGACATATGGACATAATCTTCTGGACATTTGTGGAAGAGCCCTCCCTTAGGGATGGTCTTTGTAGGCTTGCATTCACTTCCAGTCCTATGGCTTTCACCTTAGCTTTATTTCGTTTTCACTTAAGCGATAAAAAGCTAAATTGTATTCAATTGAAAGAACTAAAAATATTAATGTAGGAGCAAGTCATCATTATGACACATATCAATTTCTCACCTCTGAGGCAGTGCACAGAAGCAGGGCTCTGGATATTAACCCAGCCATGGTTGGGGGCCTGGGGAAAGGTCTGGGTAGATCTTGGTAGATACTGTGAAATATGGGCTTTTATCATGCTGGGATCTAGCATCTTCACCTACAAATTTATGAAAGGCGACACAAACAGAAAAGTCTGCCTAAGAATGGCAACTTGCTTAAGTATTATTCTGTAACAAGATTCTCTGTACTTAGGGCCTTACATTCTGGGATATTTGAAAAATTGCTTATTTCTTATTGGAACAGATTTCAATCTGAATACATTTCTGTTTTAAAATAGTTGGGATGGTACAATAAACCCAGCTCAGGGTCCTCTAAGTTTCTGTGTATATGTTTGTGAAGTAACTCTTTATTTGATTTAAGCTTCATCTACACCCTTCATTTAATATTGATCATTGTTTCTTTCCTTGAAGAGTCTAATACACTGATAGAAAAAATTCAGAGAAACCAAAACCCAGACCCCAGTCCTTGGAAGATGACTGTGCCCTGCCCCTAAAAATACTCTTTAAAAATGGCTCCCAGAAGAATGTCCATGAAGATGTCTGTCAGGAGCCAATCTTTATTCATTTCCTAGTGTTTTGTGAATCCTCTTTGAAAAAGTTCTTTGGAGTTGTGCTACTGGGAAAAAGGAAAAAGAGACTGAATCGTGGAGGCAGACATTCCCTGAGGTATGAGGTCTTCTTTGCTTAGACCTAAGTGATTTTACCCTAAGGGAGCACTCAGAATCACCCTGCGAAAAAATTGCCTTGGCTGATGGCCAGCCTTAAAGGAAAGATTTTTTAACTCAGTGGTCACTCTACTACCAAGGTCTAAACAAATGGCTTTTCTATGAACCTTGACTGAGAAAAATGAGTAATCAGGAGATTTTCTGTATTTCTTCTAATTACGGTTATAGATGAGGTCAGTCTGATAGAATCTGATTATAGACTCAGAGAATTATACATCTTGAAAATGTTCAAGAGGTCACATGATCCAGCCTCTTGAGCCCTAAGTCTAGTAGATAGTAAGTTGCAGGGGTACAGGGACAATATCAAGCCATCAGGACCTTAGATAATATTTGAATACGTACAAAATTCCCCTACACACATCTGAGATAGAAGAGAGGAATGTGTATTCAGCACATCAATGGCTTTCTTCTCATGTTTGGGAACAAGACCGCTGATAGATCCTTGGTTTTAACCCATTAGGACAAACTTCTCTTCTTAGTTCTGTAACAAACAAACTGATAAACCAGGAAAGGGCTCTTATTGAACTTATTTGGGTCAGATATTCCCTTTCCCCAGGATGAATAAACCACAGCTGTGTGTATAGAGCAGGCCCAGCTTCATGGGCATGCAACCCGTGTAGTGACACAGAGATCTGTACTTAGAAAGATCCTATGCTTGGCTTAATGCTCTGCTCTTTCCATCTAGAAATTCCTAATAATTTTAAAACAATGGATTCTACATTTTAATTTTGCGCTGGATGCCACAAATTATGCAGCCAGCTCTGGCATGGAGTTCTAGCTCAGCTTGGCAATTCCTAACATAGTCATATAAATGGTGTGGGTGGGAGAGGGAAAACAATTCCCAGGACTGGTGGGTAGATGGTGGCCAGTACAGCTGGCATAGTTCTGAGAACTGAAAGGACATGACACATGTCAAAAAATCAGTCAAGTAAGATAGTCAAAAATCCCAGTCTAGTAGGACAGGTATGGAAACAACTCAGGTGTACATGAGTGAATAAAGAAAATGTGGTTTGTGTATATGTGTGCACACACACTCACACAGACACACTGAAATATTATTCAACCATAAAAAAGAAAAAAATGAATGAAATTTCACCATCTGCAACAACATGGATGAAACTAGAGGGCATTATGCTAAGTGTAATAAGCCAGACAGAGAAATGCTGCATGGTATCATTTCTATTGGAATGTGTAAAAAAAAAAAGTGAACTCATAGCCACAGAGAATAGAAAAGTGACCATCAGGAGCTAGGGGTGGGATGGGGAATTGGGAGAGGTTGGTAGAAGGGTGCAAACTTTCAGTTATAAGACAAATAAGATCTGAGGATCTAATTCATAACATGGTGTATTGAATAACTGAGATTTGCTAAGAGTATAGAACTTAAATGACCTCACCAAAAAAAAAAAGTAAATACGTGAGGTGATGTGTTAATTAATTGTGGAAATCCTGTCACAGTGTATGTGTATAGCAAACCCTCATGTTGTACACTTTAAATATCTCATAATTTTTTGTTTATTAAACCTCAGTAAAGGATCCCTGGGTGGCGCAGCGGTTTGGCACCTGCCTTTGGCCCAGGGTGCGATTCTGGAGACCCCAGATCGAATCCCACGTCGGGCTCCTGGGGCATGGAGCCTGCTTCTCCCTCTGCCTATGTCTCTGCCTCTTTCTCTCTCTCTTTCTGTGTGACTATCATAAAATAAATAAAAATTAAAAAAAAAATAAACCTCAGTAAAGCTGAAAATAATTTTAAAGAAACAAATACAGGCTGAATGTCCACCTTTGCTTTCAATGTCACAAAGACTAGCTTTTATAAAACTGTAAGTTAGTGTATATGATTACAGGTGGAATTAAGAGTCCCCTGTACAACAAGGGGACGCACCATTCTAGCAGCAGTGACTTATTACTAGGGACTGTTAAAAATATTCTTTCTACCAGGATCCATAAAGAATAGGACAAAGTGAGCCCTGGAATGACCCCTGTAGGCTTGTAAGGACTCAATGAATACCTGGAGAATAAAGGGGAAAAGGAAGTTCAATAAAGAAGAAAAGAAAGGAAGGGAAGGAGGGAGGTAAGTTAGCCATGCTCAGTTTTTCCAGGTAGTCAGGTTGTCTAGGAAGGCAGTGGAGGGAAACCGTAAAAATTAAAGGGTAAGCCATCTAGAGCAATAAATTTTATGAAATGTTAATTGGGTTTACTCTCCGCACTTTCTTTCATTATTGTGTTTAACACCAAACACTAAAAAATTAATCAGGAAATTCCATCTGGCCAACAATTTTAATTTATGAAATTCCTTTTGCTTCAGAAGATTAAAAGCAATCCTTTGAGTAAGTTGAACATTCTAAGAGAGCCCCAAACAGCCCTGAACAAACACTCTAGAGTATCATTTCCTTTTATATTGTAACATCTTTGAATCACTTGCAATCTATAAATAAACTTGCATTTTACAGAAATGGCTCTACAAAAAGCAGCACCATGCTGGAATTCAATATACAAGGCTATTTTTAAAAGTGTTTTGATTTTTAAAAATTAATTGTAGGCCCTAGAGTTATAACTTGGCTTACTACAAGTTTCATGTTGCTTAACAACTCTTTAGAACAATTCTTCTACATCTGTGCTTTATTTTAAGTGGAAGTCAATGTTAATTGAAGATTTTGCTGATTATGGCTGCCCTGTTCTATGGTGGGGAAAATGGAATCACTAATATTCTGAAATCAGTCATTAAGGTCGTTTACCTTTAAACAACATTTTTGGTGCTTTGGTGCTCCTGTTTTTAGAGCTATTTGTTTTCCCCAGGTGTGATATAAGAAGTTATCTGACACCAAAATAAATCTCTGAAACAAAAGCTATCCTCTTAAAACATGAAAGAAAGTGAAGGAAATTGGGGGACAACTTTTATCCTGATAGAAAAGCATGCTCAACTGTAAATCTATGAAAAAATAACATTATGAAATAATGAAACTTAAGGCTTAGCTATGTTTGTCCAATTGAACTTGTTAATTTATTTTATATCAGAGGATAATAGAGAAGAAAGAGATGGATGAAATGTGTATGAAACCACACACCTGGGAAACATTATAGGCTTTATCTTATATCAAAAGGCACAGATCGTATGATGTAGAAGTTGAAGTGTTTGGAAATTTTAGGCCTTCTGAGGTAAATGTAACTTCTCTTTCGAGAGTATGTGGTTTAGGGTAGCCTGGGTGGCTCAGTGGTTTAGCACCACCTAATCCCAGGGCCTGATCCTGGAGACCAGGGATCGAGTCCCACGTTGGGCTCCCTGCATGGAGCCTGCTTCTCCCTCTACCTATGTCTCTGCTTCTCTTTCTCTCTCTCTCTCTCTCTGTGTCTCTCATGAATACATAAATAAAATTTAAAAAAAAGAGTATGTGGTTTAAAAGTATAGGAAGAGAAGTGATTATTTCTGCCTCTATATTCATTAACAGAGATTAAATGCCTAGGTCTTACTCTTTTTTGCTCTAGAAAAATAATCTTTGGGTTGTTTTCTCCTAAAAATTATTTTAGAGAAGGGCAGACAACTACTATAGTATCCAGCGACAGAACAGGACCTCAGATACATGACTCCTGCAATAGAAACTAATTGATTTTCCGTAATCTGACCTCTCTTGCCACATTATATTTCAGACAGTGAAAATTATTACTTCCACACTTGCTGTTTTTTTTGACAATTGAAAATAAATAACAGCATTTTTGAGAGAAGAGAGAGTAAACACAACATTTGAATCAATGGTACCATAGAAATCCAACAAAAGACATATATATACTCACTTTTATTTTTCAACTCCATCCATGGATGACAACTATTAACTTACACAGCAAGAAGCACAGTTCATGTGATCCATTGCACAACAGAACCAATGCAAAGGGATATTATCACTTTGAAATAAGTGACACCTTATATCTCTGTTGGGTAAAGAGAACACAAGGAGCATAAGGATAAATCTAGCTGAAGTTTCTAGAAAAAAACAACAAACAATGTAGGCCAATAGCAAAATATTGGTTTTCCTTGGGGGAAGTGAGCTACTATTCTAGAAAACAAAATTGCTATAAGGGAGGTTGTTACATAGCAGCTAATGTCCTCTTGTCATAGATCCCAAGAGAAGGGCCCCAGGCACCTAAAATGGTTGCTGGGCTATAGAACTAAGCAAGACGAATTATTTTCTTTCCCAAACTCAAGACTCTTCATTTTGACATCTGCTAAGGACACTAAACTTTGAGAGATTGTAAAATGTCAAACTGACCCTCATAAATTGGGAGAACATGTCATCAGATTATGTGAATTTCAGTGTGGCAAGTAGCAGGTAATGCATTTATTGAATAAATCTCTATAAAATTTTTAAAATCACGGGCTCTGAATCACTGCAAAATGTTTCCCAGAGATACTGTACCAATGTACTATGGCAGCCAAAATAAGATAACAGCTTAGAGAATCAACACAGAATATTAGGCTTGTTATTTGCTAGAGTGGAAGTTTATATAATCTTACTTTCTTTTGCCTTTTGGAAGACACAGTATCCAGCCCCATTTTTAGCATCATTTCTTTTCACTCTTACTATATATGTGGGGCAGGGGAAATGTCTTTTAATAGCAAAGCTAGTCTACGTATGGAATCAACATCAACTTGGTCTCACTGCTGGGTCAAGTTATCAAATCTTACTGGTGAATTAGAATCTAGAGTCAGACTCCAAGGACATAAGAACAATGTCTATGCTGGTCTTTCCCTCTTTAATTAGTATTCATGAATCACTGGGATTTTTTTTTTCTCTGTCTTTGCATTTATCTCAGTAGTTGTATCATCTGATTGCTAATGTGTTTAAATTGAGCTGCCTGATTTTAATTCAATCTGGCACCCTTTCATGGAGCACTAAATAGCCTCTCATGGCCATACATTAAACTGTGGTGAGCCCTGAAGGCTCTGCCACCAAGAAGATTTCAGCCTTTATTGCTTTGTGCAGCCCATCCATTCTTGGTTCAAGGGCAGCTTAGATATAGAGATCCCAGTTCAGATACGCACAGGTAATGACACCCATTACCTGGCAGCACGTGTAAGATAAGCCTTTCTGTCCTCTTCTGTGCCATCCTGGTAGAGTCAGCTACATCTTCTCTTCAATTAGCAAGTAGGATTTCATTCACTGAGGGAAAAGTGTCATCAAAGCTCATGTGTCTTGGTGGAGTTGTTTTTTGATGTCATGCTTCTAGTCCTTAAATCTTTAGATTTAAAATCAAGAGAATCATTTGACATACAAAAAAGTCATCTGTTTTGAAACTTGAAAGCTATTGACCAGTATATGCACCTGATCTGTAAATAAGATGCTACTTAGAAGTGTGTGTGTGCATGCGTGTGTGTGTGTGTGGGGGGGGGTACAAAAGCTCCATAACTTTGAAGGGTAAATACCCAATGCTAAAACATAAAAGAGAGAGCTTTTTAGTGCATAGCAGGAATCTGACCACATGTGAAACAACATAGCTTACAGGGACATAGAGCTTAACATATTCTACTTCTCATTACTTGTGACTCAGGAGTATCTTCTTTCAAGTAAATGGTGAGTCATGGGGATATGTAGAGGGGGAGCTTCTTTCTTACACATAATTCCTCTTTGCTTCCAGGATTAGTCAGATTTCTAGAAAAGAAAAAGCCCTTGAGACCAGAAAGAAGGAAAGACGTGGAGAGATTACAGTTTATGGGCCAGGCAAGCCTAATAGCAGCAATGCACTAGCCTCATCTTCCCCAGATTGCACTTTATCTCTACAAAGACATTGGACAGGGTGTTCTATTTCCTTGCCTTGGAAAGGAAGAAAAAGTTATAGATTTCTTTGCCTCAAAGCAATCTTCTAGAGAAAGCAATTGTTCCCTCCACATCAGTATTTTATCAGAATCAAGATTTAATGGTAAAATAAAAGGAAATGAATCTTATTCTCCCAATTGTCTAGCATGCACATATTCCCAGTCTTTCTTCTTCTTCCCCTAATGACACTTCACTGGATCTTAAAATGTGGTTTTTCTAAGAAGGAATTTTATGTCTTCAGGATGCTTTTTCAAAAACAGAACTTCCTCTAAGTGTCAATGTTCTTCTGACATGAAAATGATGCTGCCAATTTTTGTCATTTATATATCATTCTGAGTGGACTTTTTTAAAAAAGAGAATGTATGCTGACCTAGTTACCTTTCCTCCCTACCACATAGCACAAAATTTAAGACAGCAGGCTAGGCACTACAGCCATAGAACAGATAGAAACTTGGTCCTATCAATGGTCCCACAGAGGGACTAAACTCACAACTGTGTTAAGAAACACCACATCCTGGGGCACCTGGTGGCTCAGTCGTTTCAGCATCTGACTCTTGATTTTGGCTCAGGTCATGATCTCAGGGTCATGAGATTGAGTCCTATGTTGGGCACCATGCTCAGAAGGGAATCTGCTTGGGATTCTCGCTCTCTCCCTCTGCCCTTTCCCCCTACTCTCTCACTCTCAAATAAATGAATAAACTAAAAAAAAAAAAAATCCACATCCAGCTCTATTAGACACCAAGGGCATTTTGTTTATTAGTCTGCAAAATGTCTTTAAAGCACTGTCTTTGTTTCCACAGGAAATCAAAGAATAGGTTGGTTAACACAATTTTAAGATTCAAAATTATACACAAAGAGATATTGAGGTACATTGCCATGATATATTATTAAAGTGAATAGTGGAAACTATTTCCTTTTAATTTCACTGGGAATTTCCATGTTTCCATTAAAATTGTTTACTTCATTATAAAAATGATACAAGTGGTTCTAAAAAATTAGAACCTAAATTGAAATTCTAAAAAAAAAAAATCATTCTTTCACATTTTACCCATGTAACTGATGAAGTTATAAATCCTGGAATACCATGTTTTCACATCATTTCCCCCATCCCAAGCTAATGAAAGGAAGAGAAAAGGAGTGATTACAATTAAACACAGCTTAGAGTTGGGGGGAGAGTGATTTGTGTTCAGAAATCAATGTGTTTACACAGACACCTGGGGATTTTGAGTCAAACCCAGGGGTAAGCTAATCTGATTCAACTCTCACATTCAAAAACTCTCTGAAGAATACTAAACAAAACCATGTTATTTTAGGCATACTTTCTAACTATTGCCATTTATAAGTAACAACTTGAAATTCTGCTCTGCATTACCTATCTTTTTAAAAACCTGTTCTAAACTTATTTGTACTGTGTCAATTATGTGAATAAAATAAGAGCTGAGAAAATCTCCCTAAGAGAATGTTTTTTGCTAGAAACCTTGTCCTGCTACCTTCTGAGCTTCTTGAAAATGAAAATCTCTGTGCCTTCCAGATGACAGCCACTTTTTTGGTGGAACCAAAATAGCTTTCTCAGCTAGAGCGCTGTCAGTAAGAGTTCTGACAGAAGATTTGGCATGCAGGAGGAAGGTGAGCAATGGTCCCGTGGTAGGAGGTTGGGTGGGAGCACCCCACTAGCTAAGGGAGCAAGGCAGGAGGGGTACTTGGAAGACAGTGCCCTCCTAGACGCTAGGCCATGCGTGAGGAAACCAATGGGCATTTCTAGAAATGACAGATAATCTCGGAGAAGGGAATCATTAACTATGCAATATGCAGGAAACTAGAAGGTTTCCATTTGTGAAAGGAATCCAACACATTTACATGCGGAGGATTTTTGCTCCCTCTAGTGGTAGGGTAGCAGCCTTTGAAGTGATATGCTATCACTGCATAATACTGCTTCATAAAAACAAAGATGTGCATTTTGCCCATAAAATGAGGATTTTCATTAGGTATGCTGCTCTCTTATGATGGTTTTCAGAACACCCCCAACACTTCATGGGAATGAATTGCCTCCTGACTCTGCTGATTACCAGTGGCAAGGTAACAAAGATTTCCCTTTCCTTTTGGCTAAAAGATGCCAGTGCTTACTTGAGATACAGGATTCCCCTTTCCTCTGCAGTCCCATCAAAGATGCAACCATGCTATGCTCATAGGCAACTTTCCTGACTCCCAGTCTGAGCCAGAAAAACCTGGGGAGCTAAATGAGAAACCAAACCTACCCAAAGTAAAGGCGGGAAATACGGAAACTCAGAGGAAAGATACTAACTAATACAGAATCTGAGGAGTGATCTGACCCTTGATACAAAGGTCCATAATTAGCAATGAATTCTGGAACAAATCTCCACCTCTGCTTTGCGGTCACTTATTTCTCTCATTTTCATTTTTGGCCATGTGAAAACACTTCTGGTGCATCAACGTGGATCGAGGACAGTGGATGGAAAAAAAAAAAAAACAGAAAAGATGGGAAAGAGTAAATAATGACATTTTAAGGACAGTAACTAACACTGCCTCCCTAGAGGGATTCAACCGCATAAAATATCATCATTGTGCAAGAATATTGATGGAAACAGATCATAGGTTAGAGCTGTCCAATCAACAGGTTATCGGGCAATAACTGAAAATCTACCAGTGTGAGATACGCAGGGTATGCAGCTCTTTCACCTGCTCCATACTCAAAGTTGGGCATCAGTGATGCCTCCGTGACTTCGCTTGTGTGTCTCCAGGGCAACCAAATTCATGTGTCCCCCCCCCCAAAAAAAATATATATTTATTTTCTAGTTTCTTTATGTCAGTGACTCACTGCACCAGCCACCCATTTGCAGTAGCCGGAAGTTCGGGGGGGTCCCTGACCCCACCTAGCGTCTCACCATCAGGTTCAAGCCATCTCCAGGTCCCTGGGTCTTAGGGTGTCCCCCCCACTCTCCGTCAAACGCATCCTCCACGCTGCCCTGCTTCACTCCACAAATACTTCTAGGGGGCCCACTCTGCGCTGCGGTGAGACTTGGCTGAATAAGGCAAGTTCCCCAGATTCTTAAGTAGCTTGTGGAGGCGGAAGACACCCACAGCGGGGAGTCGTGAGCAGGCCGTGGGGCGGTAAACCGGGGCGCTATCCTAGAAAACGGCCGGGTGGCTACTCAAAACCGTGTGCTCAAGTGCACGGGGGGGGGGGGGGGGGGGAGGGGAGGGGAGGGGGGAGGGGAGGGGGTCCGCCGGGCTGACGGCATCTGCTGTCGAGGCTTCCTCACGTACACGGGAAGGTGCTCCCCAAACCGACCAAGCGCGAGAAGGAGACTCCGTCGGACGCACCCGAGGTACGCTCGAGGTCGGCAGGTCCCCAAGCGCCTCCGCCCCACCGCAGCGCTTACTACGTGAAGGGACGCCGTGGAGTGGACTTGCCCGCGGGGCGGCCGCGCGCCTCGCTCGCTCCTCCTCGTCCTCGGTGCCCAAGATCCGGCCCGACCTGCGGCAGGCGCGCGAGGGCTGGTGGCGTGAACGCGGGCGGCAGCAGCGCAGCCGGAGCAAACAGCTGAGCGCGCCTGAGGTCCGACGTCTCCGCTGACGCGTCAAGTGCACTTAGTTGGGCGGCGAGGCTAACCAGGGCGCCCAGTCCCGGCCGGGTTCCTGAGCTTTGATCTCGCGCGCCCCGCCACAACCCTCTCCAACTCCCCGCTAGGAGGACTCGCACCTCCCGACCCAGGACCCCTCCCGCCCTCTCCTCTACTTCTCCTGCCCCCCGCCCCCCCACGCCTCCCCACGCCTCCCCACGCCAGGGTTCCGGCAGCCTTGGGGGCGCAGTGCGCACCGGGAACTGTAGTCTTCCGGTGCGAGCCCAAGGAGTTTTAGTCCGGTCTAGAACTACGCTCCCCAGAGAGCCTCGCGGCAGGAGCCTCTATCACCTGACCAGGAGCCGGGTGCGGCAATGGCGGCGCCCATGCTTCGCGGGTGGTGGTTTGCGAGGCGTGGGGCTTTAGCCTGCGTTGACGGCGGGTCTCGCCATGGAAGAGGGGCCGCGATTGGGTGCAGGTCCAGCGGGCAAAGGGGACAGAGCTCCGTGGCTCAGCAGCCCCTCATCACGGCCCAGAAGTCCGGGAAAGGGTATACGATTCCATACCATTACTGCCCTCTTAAGTGTGAGGTGGACCCGCGGGGCTGGGGAGGTGCTGTCCAGGACAGCCCGGCGTCAGTCTAGACGTCGGTGGTGGGCGGGGAGGTATGGGGAGTGGGGTGGTGGTGGGCTATCACCTTCAGCCCTGAAACATATATGAAAGCACAAAACTAGCTCTATCAGCCCCGCCTCCACACATAAGACACTCTCCAAGAAGGCGTATTTGGGGGGAATTTACGAGCGTAAAGTCGCAGATCTTTTCTTGAATGTAAGACTGCACACACAAAAGAGTGGATTTAGTCACCTTACTAATAGGACTAGCAGTGGGTCGCTGACGCCAGAAAGCAGTAACTTATTTAATAGCAGGACGATGGGACAGCAGTGATCTAAAAGTACAAAAGGAGCCTTTACCTACAGACTCTAGCAAGTGGCGAATTAATGTTATTAGTCAAAACACCACCTGTCTGTGGAGGCATTTCATGTTGAACGTGTTTCTAAGGAGGATGCAGTCAATACCAGAGATCTTCCCCCTGATTAGAATTTTGCTTGTTTTGTGAGATGTCCTCTAAACAGCTGTTTATACTTTATAAGACTTAAATAGTTTCTTTTTAAGTGCTGAAACAGAAGGCGCGTTTTTAGGAATCCTTTAATCCTTTGAGAGAGTTGAGTTGGCATTGTTTTTGCTTTTCTGTTGAAGCAACAGAGGGAAAATGTCCAGAAGCATTCAGCTTCTATTCTTTCATAAATTAGATTGTCTGACTGTAAGTGGAAAGTATTTTTTCTCTCGTGGGACGAAACTACAAAAATAGTTTTGAGCGATGTTTTAGCGAATGCAGAATTTCTGATGGGTTCTTCATTGAATTCCTCTCAATTGTCAGCAGTGCTTCCAAACTTTAAAAAGAAGGAATTAATCTTCTTACAGAGTACTATAGACATAGAATTTCATGTGTTGAAATGATTGAAACAAGACCCAGTGCATGTAAACAAAAACCTAGACGATAGAGACAATTGCTAGGGAGAAGAGCAGAATAGGAACAGAGTATGGAGAGAGCGTGTGCAAACAGACATTGTCCAGGATATGTGGTTTCAGAAGGAATAAGCACACTTAGAAGAACCTAAGAGTGAGACCTGTGTGTGGAATGCTCATATATGGACCCAACAGAGTAGGAGAGGTTCTTACAGCATTTAACAGCGTTTTAGATTTGATAGCAATCAAGCATAAAAAAGGAACCTGAAACTATATCCAGGGAACTGAAAGTGATTTGGGGAACCAAAAAAAAAAAAAAGAAATCCACATCTGATGGTTTAATGTTTTCATTTGCCCCAAATCCCAGGAAGAGTATGATTTAGTGATGATCTGTTACATCTGTGTCACTCTGGTCATTTTACTTGGAAGCCTTTGGTATAAAATGAGTTCAAAACATGACAAAGAATTTCCCTTCCTTTTTAAATAGGTTATACAACTACACACCATTATTTTTCTAGTAGTAGAAGTATGATTTTTATGTTACTTCTAAAAATGTTTGCAAGGTCAGCTTTCATTTACTGAGTTATTAATTGCTAAAGGGCAGTTAATCTAGAAAATGCTGCTTTTCACTGAAGTCAGCCAAGCAGACATCACTTGATAGCCATTTCTAAATTGTTTCAAGATTCCAAATTGTCCTTCATGACCTTCCTCGTTGTACAGTGAACTCTCCCTATGCCATGTTGTAAATGAATTTTATTTTGCTGGCCCTGTAGACGGTCATGTTGAATTACTTTTGATTCAGTCATCGATAAAATGTGACATATTTTTTAAAAGAATCAAAAATCTTAATTAACACAAATAGCAAATTAACATCTGTGGTTTAGGATCATAGAAATTCATGCATAAAAAAATAAAAAAAAAGAAATTCATGCATAATGGTGGATTTAACTATTTCTTAACCATTCTTTCTCTTTAGTGAACACGAATGGGCAGCTGTGGTCGGTTTGGAAATTCATGCCCAGATCTCTTCCAACTCTAAACTCTTCTCTGGATCTCAAGTCCAATTTGCAGCACCTCCAAATTCTTTGGTATCTTTCTTTGATGCATCTCTGCCTGGAACTCTCCCGGTAAAGTTTTTTATTTAATCATATTTTCATTAGAAAATGTTTCTGTTTTATTGGACATAGGTAGTGATTTCCTTGTTTTCACATCTGGCATGACTCTTAGGAAGTACTTATTTAGGGAATTTTGGGTGAAAGAAGAACTAAATGTTTTCTAAAGACCCATCTCTATAATTCTGCTTCTAAGTCTAAACATCATCCCTTTGTTCATACATGTATTCACTCATTGCATGCACATTTTAAAATGTCCACAAAATACCAGACACTGTGCTATGAAGTGGAACTTGAAGGTGACTGACAATCCTTTTCTTTGAGGGGTTTAAAGGCTAGGTAGGGAGAAGTGTTTTGTACTAGTGTCTACTTACAAACAAGTAGAGTACTGTGTAATTATGCCTGTGAAGGTATGCCTGTGTAGGCATGGTTTTGGAACCCAGAGGAAGAACACCTAATTCTGTAAGAGAAGGATTATTGTGATAAATTGAGGTACGAGTATGATTGGAAAGCTTGTTGGAAGAGGTGGTGTCTGAGCTATCTGAGAAGCCAGATAGGAGTTAGGCAGGAAAATGAAGGAGGAGGAGGAGTCTAGTCACAGGAGACAGCGTATGATGCATGATATTATAGTGTAAGGTCAATAATGATTATGATTATTGGAAATTAAGTGGTTGATAATGGAGAGAACAAGTCAACCACAATATACATTGAGTTAACCACTCACTTATATGCTCATTTTCACTTAAACCCAAGGAATGACTAGGTCTAGTGTACTCATCAGCAAGATTATCCCATAATTTCATATAGTTGGCTGAATTTTGAAGAAAAGGATGGAAGGAACAATGTGAATATTTGAGGTAATAAATAAATCATAGTCTGTCCAGGACATATAGCATCAACTGGGTGTGGGATTTCCTGCCATCCTTGGAGGGAATGTGTATAGATGGTGGTGAAGGGGGAGGGAGGAGGAGGGACTGTCATGGGTGATTTCTGTATTCTCTAACATTGAAATACAAGTGAAAGCTGGTTGACTTGACTGAGGCAGCAGTGTACTTTCCTCAGAGTCGCTGTCCAGAGTAGGAGGTTTGGGGCCGTGCCTCCAATGTGTCTGCTATACCCAGGGCTTTGGTTATATTGCAGTAGGATCTCTATCTTGGAATTTTTTTTCTTATTTGTGCTCTTTGTTGTGGAGGACTCCCATACCTGCAAACCCTATCCAGGATCACCTTTGGTTTGCTCTTGAGTCTTTCTGGGGGAAAGACAGATAAAGGGATGTCTGCCCCTCCCTCCCTCTGGCTTAGAGTTTCTATCTATGGAGAAATCATTTTTGTTTGGGAAGAGTCAATTTTTCAGTTGCAAGTGTATGCGTTCTTTTTTGGGGCAGAGATGCAGATATAGGAGAAGTAGAGTAATATCTATTCAGACAAGTGAAATGGAAAGCAGTTTATCACAACTCCTCTCCTTTTTTTCTTTCTGAGCTAAAAACATTTTTTTTCCACATGGTAGTTCATTATCAAGAGACTACACATAACCTCTGAGTTCTTTTTAGGTTTTTCCAGCTGGGAATATAGTATCCAGCAAAGTATTTATTATAGTTCACATTTGGAAATAGATCTATCTGCAGATAGGAATGTTTTCCATAAATAGGCTTTTCGGTTGTGGCTAAATGTGGTCAAACATTAGAGACAACTCAAAACTAAAATGTCAACATACTTTGAAAGACTTCTTGCTATACACCAAAGAAGGTGCTTGCCCAGTGATAAGCATAGCAGTAAAACAGTGAAGGTGTTTGGGACATTTGAGGACTGAGAGCTTGGCTTATATTAATTAAATGACAGTCAAAGTTTAGATACCCAGTTTTGCTTGAGCTGGGATTTGTTTTTCCTCTTCAGCGCCCACTACACTCACGATTTAAGGAGCCTAATGGGTTATTCTCTCGACAGAGTTAATCTACCTCTTGTTCCAAAATGTTTCTGTCTTTAAAAGACCTATTTTAGTATGTGAGCAAAATTACAACAAAACTACCAGAATAGAACATTGTCACTCCCTGTGTTTTACCTATGTAAATGTATTGAGACATTTAGACGGTTGCTCTCCTCTCAGCTCTAAGATGCTATATTGATGCTGTGGTATTCTGACTCTGCATTTGGTTGTTTTTGTACACAAAAAAATGGTGACCGTTTGTCAGATACACTAATAAGATAAAAAAACTATTGTTACTGCAATAAAGTGTTTTTTATTGTATTGTAAAGCAACAACATTAACTGCAAACATAAATAGGCTTGAACATGTGCATTTTAATCTGTCTTTCCTCTCACCCCAAAGAAACCCTACTGAAATTACAGTAAAATAATTTAATACTTATAAAACCTGTGTGAAAATAGGAGACCAGAGTTTGTGAGAGATGGTAGATGGAGGAGGGACTGACTTAGCAGAGCAGAGTTAACTATAAGCCAAGAAAGAGACAAATAGCCTGCAGAAAGAGCCACTAGTGAGAAATAAGATGTCATGCCCTGCATAGCCTCAGAAAGCATCTGGATATGGGATCCCTAGGCTTTGCAGAAGGCCAGGGGGAGGTGGAAATAAGGGATTAATTCAGGAGTCTGAGCAGTTAGAATTAAGGTTGTCTCCTTGACCCTCTGCAGCTACCCCACTCCAATAGGAATCTGTAGCTTGGGGAGAAATTCAACTGGTGACTCACTCCCCCTGGGGACCCCAGGCAGAGAAAAGGCACCAGTGTAAGACAGTGTCTGCACCGTAGACTCTAGGACCTGCCCAGTGTTTTTTTTTTTGACCCTGTTTTAAGAGCCCAAGTGACCTAGTATAGCCATCTCTCTACTCCCTCTCCTCTGCCAAGCAGGAATCTGCAGGAACTTGTTTGGAGATTATATGTCTCTGGAGGGAAGAACTTCAGATACTGACACTTGGGTGGGGGGGGTCTCTATAAAAAACCTGCCTGGCCACTTGATTGTCCTAGAATGGAGGCCATCAGTCAACAAGCCCTAGGTACTTAAATAATTTAGAACTTTTAATCAGCATTTTAGTAGCTACTTCAAAATATAAACCGATGGCCAACAATTACTATACATATGAGGAAGTTCTCCAACATAATGGACAGAACCCAAAATCAAAAGACTAAAGAAATAAGAAATAACAGTTAATGCACAGGGTAAAAGAATACTTTGAAATTAGGAGCGTCTGAGTGGCTCTGTGGTTGAGCATCTGCCTTCACTCAGGGCATGATCCTAGGGTCCAGGGATCAAGTTCTGCATCAGGCTCCCCATAGGGAACCTGCTTCTCCCTCTGCCTATGTGTCTGCCTCTCTCTCTCTATCTCTTGTGAATAAATATTTTTTTTAAAAAAAGAATACTTTAAAAAATTAGAAGTTCTTATAAATATTTTAAGAGAAGGTAGCTGCATCTTTGAGATAAGAACATGATACCACTTTTTAAAAATAAAGAATCAGAACAAAAATCTCTCAGAAATTAAAATTATGATAGCAAAAAAAAAAATCCACAAGAGTTAGAAGATAAAGTCAAGAAAATCTTCCACAAGGTGTACACACATACAATGAACTGGACAGTAGGGGGATAAAATAAGAAAATTAGAGACTCAGTCTAGGATGTACAACATCTGATTCTTGGGAGTTCCAGAAGACAGGAGAGAGACTGTAGACAAGGGGAAGCTCTCAAACTACACAGACTAATTTCCCAGAACTGAAGGACCTGAATGTCCAAGTGGAAAGGGCTTGCCACGGACCCAGTGCAAGGAACAAAAATAGTCTCATGTCTCATAGACAGGCATGTCATCATGAAGTGTAGGAATGCCGGGGATAGAGCTAAGGTACTGGAACAAAGAAGAAAAGAAAGGTCATATGCAAAGGACTGGAAAGTTCATTGGACTTCTTAAAAAGCAGCACTTAAAGCTGTAAGAGAATGAAAGAGTGCCTTAAAAAGAACTTAGGAGGAAAAAAAAATTCTAATTTAGAAGTCTGTATCCAGCACTATAAGTTGTGACAGTAGAATAATGATATTTTCAGACAGTTGGCTTCTCAAAAATTTGGCCTTTCACCATCATGAGAACCTATTGGAGTAATGGAGAGGTTCCAGATTGCCAGCTCTGCAACAGGCCTGGGGAATCTGGTGAGAAAAGAGGATGGATGGCTGTAGAACAGAATGGTTTCAAGAAGAAAAAATGTAGTGGGGTGGGAATAGCAGATATCTAATGTTTGTGTAGACACAAGGTTTTACATATAGAATCTTTGAGAATAATAAGCAATAGGTAATAAAATATGAAGCAGATGATGAAATGAAGACCCATCAACTCCAGAAAAGCAAAATGTTCAAGAAGGAAAAATCAGAGTATACTTAACAGCTCAGCAGAGAAACATAGAACCAACTACTGATTTAACAAAAACTGAGATACAGCTAGGATGTTGAGAAATAAACTCAGTTCTTATCTACCATTATCAGAAGTTACATTCTAAATTGATAAAGCAAGAAAAAAGTAACATAAGAATGTGTTCCAGTAACATTTTTGGCCACATATCAGGGGAGGCCTCTTTCTCCTTTTCAGGCCCTAAGTTGGTTGGTTGGTTTTTGTTTTAGATTGTTTTTGGCTATTGGTACTTTTTTTTTTTTTTCAGTTTTTAAAAATAAGGCAATGAGTGAAAGATTTAGAGCTCTTAAGAGACAGATTATTAGTCAAAAGGGTTTTCAATGAAGTTTTAAAAAAAATTTATGTAAAGGTAATATTAAGTAATCAAATATTACCTCTACTGGTTTCTCAGCCTTCTGCTGGTGAAATATCTTTTTTGTTCCCAAAGTCCAAACCATGGCAGGCTCCAACGTCCCACACCTGTAACTCCCACCTTTACCAAGCTCTTGGAAGGAATAGGCTCCTCCACATCCTAGATTATTCATACCCAAGTCCACACATGTGGTGGAAGTATCTGCTTCCCTGGGGCGAAGTGACTGGTTTGAGTGTTTGAATGTTACTCATCTTACCATGGGGTT